TGGTCGGCTCCGGGATGATCTAATAGAGCACCACTAGCAGTTGGATGGGCGGCGCATTGGCCCATGATGTATCTTTGTTTTACTTTTCTATGTCCTATTTGATTCGAACAATTCGTGTAATTTGCTCAAACATTGTTGTAATAATTTGAATGATTATTGTTTTATTCGGTGTTGTAATAATAACTAGAATGATTATTGTTTTATGTCAAATGTGATGGAATTTGTGATATGTCATATGATGAAATGTGATGAAATGTGTGATATATCAAATGATAGTTTTAAAGGTTGGGGTTGAGGCAAAGACTAGAACCCTCAAATCCAACCCTTAAAGCAGTTTAAGGGTTGGGTTTGAAGGTTCTAGTCTTTGCCCCTGTTTTTCAACCCTTAAAAGGGTCAAAAAGTGGCACTTCTCAACCCTTAAAACTGCTACAAGGGTTTGAGGGTTTAGAGGTTCTACTAGTAATGCTCTAAGTGGGCTAAAATAAGAAGGGTCATCAGCTTCTAGAGGAACCTACCTTAGGGAGTAAGTAGCGAGAATTGTTGTCTCTTGCTTTGAAGCGGAGGCAAAAAAACATTATTCATCAATTAATTAAAAAAACATAATCAACGGTAAATTAGAAGAAAAGACATCATAAACCGTTGAACAACATACACAAGAACTCCACAACAAACCAGTACAAAGAAAGTCTTGAAGAAGCACACTGGGGTTATAGTCATCAGGTCTCCCTGAACAGGCATCATTGCCATCCATTTTCCTTGAGGACGCGACTCCGACTTTGCCACAAACGACCGCGGACGCAAACTCATATCCCGTAACGTGTGCATGGAGCCACATCAAGATCTATGCCAAACTCTCAACATCTGTGATAGACCTGGCCATCCTCCGGGCCAGGCCGGGCTTCGGGCCGGGCCTGACCAAGCCCGAGGTAGAAAACTCAGGCCCGAGCCCGGCCCGGCCTGGCCGTCGGGCCGGGCTTCGGGCCGGGCCTGACCAAGCCCGAGGTAGAAAACTCAGGCCCGAGCCCGGCCCGGCCCGGCCGTCGGGCCTACTTTTCAGGCCCGAGCCCGGCCCATCACAGCAAAAAACACGTCAGGCCTCGGGCCTCGGGCCGGGCCTCTTCAGTAAATGACATAAACAGCGGGCCCAGGCCTGGCCCGACCTAGTCTTCGGGCTCAAAACCTAGGCCCAGGCCCGGCCCGGAAGCAGCGTCGGGCCGGGTCGGGCTAGGCTTTTTCGGGCCGGGCTGTTCGGGCCGGGCGGCCCATGGCCAGGACTAATCTGTGAGGAGACCAGGGTGGACCCAGAATAAAAATGATCCGATGTCCACATGTACATCATATATGCATAGAAACATATACATCGACGGAGCTATGTAGAACTCTAAGGGGGCCATTGCCCCAGCCCAATTGCAATTTGTTTTATTAGATAGTAACCGTTCCATATCCACATACACGTACAAGGCCAGAAGCCCATCACCGGCATTATCACACGAACACGACTACATGAGCCTGCTCGGTGCTCGGGACTTGAGTGCTTTACGTGTCTCTTTTCTCAACTATGGTCGCCGCTGGCGCTGGTTAAATTTTGTTGCGGTTGGTTAAATTTTTTTTGGTCATTGCCCCCCATAGATTCTTGTCAAGCTCCGCCACATATAATGCTATACATAAAAATATCAAACTTCGGGTGTGCTTGGTTGCAATATATTGCAAGAATACTATTTTGAAAAACTATGGTTTCAAATACTTTGAGATGTTTGCCTCTAGTTAAGATTGCAGTATTTCCACGAAAAAAAATCAGTGTAGTATTATAAGCCATAGTATCCACAAAACTATGGTATTTTTGCTGTATTAAAAAAAATCAGGACCTTTGTTTTAAAAACTGAGAAAAACAGCAAATGACTCTAGTGGTGGTCAAAGACATTACTACATATTCCCTCCGTAAAAAAATATAAGAGCGTTTAGATCACTATTTTGATTGCCAAACACGTCACCATTTTAGCAATAGCTTTACAAACTGATGGTTTCATAAACTAAAATATTCATTGTCATGGGATTAAAAACCGTAGTCTCAAACAGTAAAGCATAAAAACTCCAAACAATGAAACCAAGGATGATCGGCAAAAATGATATGCAGTCCCAAATTTTGGAAACTCAAAATAATTTAATTCTCAAACAAATTTGTATCGGCATAAAAATTGAAATATCCTAGTAGTCCTATTCTCAAACAGACGTGGACATCTCCTGAAAAAAACACAGTAATCCAATATGTAATTGTAACATCCTTATGATTTGAAACTCTTGTTCGGTGTTTCAGTGTTTGGGAAATACAAATTGTGAGAAATAGAGACACGCACTTGAAATAGATCAAGGGGTTCTCTTGCCGTACCTTTTTCTTTCTGGTGATCTAAGCGAGTCTGGCAAGGCGACACTGTTGCGCATAGAGGTGGGCGGCGATAGGGCTAGCGCGAGCTTGTGAGAGCTTCTCCAATATGTGCCCAAAAAGAGATCCACGTGTTAAAAGTTTATTTTTTGGCCGTCGAACAGCTCCAACAGATGTTATAAAATATTGCGCGCGCTAAAAAATTTTGGGCACGCACTGAAAAATATTGTCGCATGCTGCATATTTTGGGGTCCGGATTGCACGCGCTTCACAATTTGCACTGGTGCTTTTTTGGGCGCGTGTTTTTTGGCGTTTGCTAAGAGCATCTCCAACAGCCGCGCAACGCGTCGCGCGCTAAAAGTCAGAATACAGCGCCGTCCGCCGTAAATTAAAGCGCGTCGAGCCGCTCCAGCAGGCGCGCTATATTTTATCTGTTTTTTATACTATGATTCGATAGTTCATAGTTCATTCGTCCTCGCGATAGGCGGCTCACTCCTCCCTCCTCTTCGTCCTTTTTGCCCTCCTCTGGGCGAAGAACTGTTCCTCGTTGGTGTCTTCCGGGAAGCGATGGCTCCACGGGCCATGGCTTGCTCGTCCATCTCGGCCAGCCAGAGACGACGCTCCCGCCTTCGGTGCTTGCGACGACCCTCGTCGGTGAGAAGCCGCGGGAAAGGCGCCAACTCATGTGCCCGCTCCCGCGTCGACACGTCGGCGAAGTTCATGTCCTGACGGGACCGTAGGAGGTGCCACGCTGCAGCGTCGTACGCGCGGGCGCCCTCCTGGGTGGTGTTGAAGGTTCCGAGACAGAGCCACATGCCGCCGCCCGACCGAATCTCGGCGGAGTAGGTGCCGGACGGACGCACGCAGACGCCGCGGTAGCCCGTACCTCCCCGGCGGCGAGGCGGCATGGTGGCACGGTGGTGGTGTGTCGGCGGCAGAGGGCGATGGAGAGAGCGGCAGAGGGCGCTGCAATTTATAGACGCGCCAAATGTAGTGCGCGAGCTGCCGCATTTTCCCCCGCGTGCGCAATTGTTTCCCGCTCGAGCTAGTTTTCCGCCACCGCTGGAGCGCACGAAAACGTCCCGCGCATGCTAAAAAGCCAATTTACCGCGCGGCGCGTCTTTTGAAGATGCTCTAAAGTAATGTTGGTCCCGGTGCAATAAAAATGCTACAGTGACGCGCTATAATTTTTATTGGGCGCGAAATTTTTATACTGTTGTTGGAGATGCTCCGAGGAAATAACGCGAACACACTAGAAGCCAGCAGGTTGGAGGCCCACGTACACAAACCTTTAATACCCAAAGTACTTACATTACGTGAGTTTCCCCCCAAAAAAAAAACTTGCATTACGTGAGTGACGGCATCGCCGCTGCATGGGCTATTAGTATTAGATGGGCCTGCTCGTACACCGTTTTGCTGGCTCTGGCCGGTGTCCATTGACTAATTTTACCGGTGTCACACCAGTACATGTGCCTTATATAGTACACATAGCGAGAAAATTACCCGAGGTCCTCTGACACCGGCTACGACCACGTGGGTCCGCCGAGACAGTGCAGCTCTGATTCTAACGAAGAGAAACTATACATATTCCCTCCGGTCCTTTTTTAGTCACATAAAAGATTTGACTGAAGTCAAGCCTCGTAAAGTTTGACCAACATTGTAGAGAAAAATGTCAACATTCACAATCTGAAATCAATACCACTAGATGTGTCATGACTTAAAGTTTCATATTATATAACTTTAGCATGACAAATGTTGATATTTTTTTATATAAATATGGTCAAACTTTGTGAAGTTTGACTTCAGAGAATTCTAATATGTAGAGTAAAAAGGACCGGAAGGAGTACATGTTTGACATTGTAGAAGAACGCAAAATAGACCACTTGTCGTCCGTCATCCAACGGGGCACGAAACCGAAAACAAGGTGACCCCCATGGCGCAACTCATGATGACCCGAACCTCACACGCCACTCGTGCCAAGCCAAAACCAGTGGTGAGCTCATGCAATGCAAGTTAGGCAGAGCCTTCCCATACAACCTGTCATCAGGTACATTAGCGTTTCATAAATTTAATTAACACCCACCAAAGAATTGAATGGCCGAGAACATGGAAATAGACCGTCGTCTCTCAAAAACAGGAAATCTATTATAACCTCCATTCAAAAGCGTCCAAATATAGTACTCCTTTCATTTGAAAATACTTGTACTAAAAATGATTGTATCTAGACCGTCTAAATACAACCATTTGTAAGACAAGAATCTCCCATGGATTCGGGTGTCTTCCCCTTGCAAGGCAGCTCAGATCAGCATGGATGATGAGGTGGTGGTGACGTCCCGACCCCGAACAAATCGCTTGGGCAGGACGCGTGCGCTGCCACAGGCCGCTTTAACCGCAAGCACTTGCACTTGTGTGTGTGTGGCCTTTGACCCCGGTGGACCGGACCGCGTACGCGTGCGCCGCGCAGCACTCGCCCGCCCGTTGCCACGTCCGGCCCAAAACATGGCATGCATTTACCAAGGGCGGACTAGGCAGCGAGATGAAGCGGGCCCTTGCCTCTATATAAACCTCGCCGCCTCCTCCTCGCCGTCCCATCCACATCCCTTTTCCCAATTCAGTCGCCATGGCCGCACGGAGAGCGGCGCTTCAGGTAAGCAGCCATCTAATCCCGTCCGTCTCTACGACGGTTTTGCTCGGCGCGGGTGCGGGCGCGGATCGGGACTGACGGATGGGCTCGGCTCCTTCCTTCCTTCCTGCAGGTGGCGGTGGTCCTGCTGGCGCTGTGCGCGGGCGGCATTGGCGCGTCGCCGGGGTGCCGGAAGCACGTGCGGAGGGTCACGGAGTACGGGGCGGTGGGGGACGGGAGGACGCTCAACACGGCGGCGTTCGCGCGGGCCGTGGCGGACCTGGGCAGGCGCGCGGGCGACGGCGGCGCGGCGCTGGTGGTGCCGGAGGGGCGGTGGCTCACGGGGCCCTTCAACCTCACCAGCCACTTCACCCTCTTCCTCCACCGCGGCGCCGAGATCCTCGCCTCCCAGGTGATTATCCATCCCGATCTTCTTCAGTTACCCTTTGGTGGGATTAATTACCGGTAGTAATTGCTACGTAACGTGCTTACTGTACCCGGCACGATGCGGGGCGGGGGGCTACTGGTGACGGGCGAGACAGCACGGGGCCGGTGGGAAAGGCGCTTGGCCGCTTGCGTTGGGAGGGAGGAAGGTCCAGGGACAGAGTGGGCGGCGGCTACTGGTTTGGGGGCCCCCTGCCATCGCCATGACCACTGTCGCTCGCTTCCTTTCTAGGCATGGCCTTTCCGTGGCCATCATCGGTCGTCTCCCTGCTCCTGATGCCTGATTGATGCCAGCCCTACCCTAAATAAGTAATAGGATAGGATGCTAATTACTACTCCTACTGGCTTGCTAAATGCCACCATTACATGCCTGTTTTGTTTTTCTCTAGATTCAAGCTAGTATGGCTTAAGGGCAGGAGACCGTAACATTTCGGCGCTTGATTAATCTGCTGGGACAAACAAACCCGGCCGCCCACCATGTCCTCGCTCCTCACCGCACCGGTGGTTGCCAATTGCCATGACCATGAGTCATGACAGAACCGAGTCAGTTGGTGCTTATTGAATGGGAACATGTACACAAAAGTTGCTTACTGGTAGTAGTACTAGCATGGACCGTTTGACCACGAGGTCAGACGGCATTGATGTGCTTATCGGGTACTCGTGTCCGTGGGAACCAGAGAAAAACAGGAGAGCTCTCTGAAAATTCCATGCGTGCCATCGCCGTCTCATTCAGTACCTTTCTTTGGCTGCATTCATCCCGTGATCTGACGCCCTTGACGAATCGCCCCGTGTTTATGCTTCTGTCGCTTGCATCCATCTCGTGATCATCTGACTGATTTCTGAATCCAAACCCAACCTACTCGTTCGTGCAGGACCTGGAAGACTGGCCGCTGATAGCGCCGCTGCCGTCCTACGGGAGAGGGAGGGACGAGCCAGGCCCGAGGTACAGCAACTTCATCGGCGGATCCAACCTCACCGATGTCACCATCTCCGGTAAGATGGATCATTACATTACAAACTGACGAGTAAAATTCTACTGCTGTACCGGTAGCAGCAGCAGAGACCTGACCGAAAAACGTTTTGCAGGTTACAATGGCACCATCAACGGGCAGGGGCAGGTGTGGTGGGACAAGTTCCACGCCAAGCAGCTCGACTACACGCGCGGCTACCTGCTCGAGCTCCTCTACTCCCGCGACATCATCATCTCCAACGTCACCTTCGTCGACGCGCCCTCATGGAACCTCCACCCCACCTACTGCACGTAAGAAAACACCATCTCTCTCTGAATCCACACGCACACACACAATGTTAGTTTGATCGTACGTAGTAGATAGCTTGGTTGTTTGACCATGTATCCGTCGTGCTCACCTTGCTGGCGTGTCCTGTGTTGAGCAGCAATGTGACCATCAGCGGCGTCACGATCCTCGCGCCGGTCCACTCGCCAAACACCGACGGAATCGACCCAGGTAGTAGATCAGTCACGCTTTCAGTATGATGAACTATCCATACTATCCACCAGCGTTCTTCATGAGAATCTTGAATGTGTTTCTGAATCTGAATGCCTGTGAACTGTTATTGCTTGTGCAGATTCTTCGTCTCATGTCAAGATCGAGGACTGCTACATCGTGTCCGGCGACGACTGCATCGCCGTGAAGAGCGGCTGGGATGAATACGGCATTAAGTTCAACATGCCGAGCCAGCACATCGTCGTCAGGAGGCTCACCTGCATCTCCCCAACGAGCGCCATGATCGCGCTCGGCAGCGAGATGTCGGGCGGCATCCAGGACGTGCGCGTGGAGGACAACACCGCCATCGACACCGAGTCGGCCGTCAGGATCAAGTCCGGCGTGGGGAGGGGCGGCTTCGTCAGGGACGTCTTCGTGCGCCGCCTCAGCCTCCACACCATGAAGTGGGTCTTCTGGATGACCGGCAACTACGGCCAGCACCCCGACAACTCGTCAGACCCCAAGGCGCTGCCTGAGGTCACCGGCATCAACTACCGCGACGTGTTCGCCGAGAACGTGACCATGGCCGGCAGGATGGAGGGCATCCCCAACGACCCCTACACGGGGATATGCATGTCCAACATTACCGCCCAGCTCGCTCCCAAGGCCAAGAAGCTGCAATGGAACTGCACCGACGTCCAAGGAGTGGCATCCGGCGTCTCGCCGGAGCCGTGCCCAGAGCTTGGGGCAGAGGGCAAGCCCTGCACATTCCCAGAGGAAGAGCTCGTCATTGGTCCGCCAGAATTGCCCAAATGTACCTACTGATATATTATGTGGTGTGCTATAGCCATCAGGGTTTGAACCAAAGAGATGATGTACTCTGAGTCTTAGTATAGTCAAGCAGCAGTTTGAAAAATGTTGTAGAATAAGTATATGTGTGCAATGCAATGAACTCCCAAAACGAATAGCCTGACCAAAGCAAAACTTTCCATTTTGTTCTGTAGTACTCCCTCTGTAAACTAATATAAGAGCATTTAGATTACTAAAATAGTGATCTAAACACTCTTATATTAGTTTACGGAGGGAATAGTAGTTACAACATGAACAGCAAGTAATAACAGGCAGCAAAAGGATCATCAGATATCCAATATCTAAACCAAACTATGCAAAAGGATGACAATTGACAAAGTGGGAAGCAACAAAGCTCAAACGCCGCCTGATCTTCACTTTCTTCCCCTGCCCTTGCTCATGAAGTGATGGCGCTTCAACCTCTTCTTCTTGAACTGGTCCGACTTGATGTTCTCGGCGAATGGCATGCCGAGGAGCGCGAGCAGCCTCTGTGCCTCGTTGTCGGTCTTGGCGGTGGTCACAATGGTGACGTCCATACCGTTCTTCTTACCGCCCACCTCGTAGGGGATCTCCGGGAACACGCCCTGGTCGCGGAGGCCAATGGTGTAGTTGCCGTGGCCATCGAAGCTGTTGGGGTTGACACCTAGGAAGTCCATGGTCCTAGGGAGCCCAAGGTTGATGAGCCTATCCAAGAAGTTGAACATGACCTGCATCAACCAAATGTGGAATTGAGCCCCTTAATCGACAACTATCGCTGATACTACAGCTTAACTCAAATGCAAGATTCCAAACTGCTAACAATTTCATATACCAATCTGTCATTGTGTCTCGTGTGCATTTCATCAAAGTGCAAGTGCGAGAGTTCGACAGAGAGGGCTCACCCTGCCGCGGAGCGTGACGGCGATACCAATGGTGTTGCCCTCGCGGATCTTGAAACTGGCGACGGAGTTCTTGGCCTTGGTCTTGACGGGGTACTGGCCGGTGATGGAGGCGAGGTCCTTCATGGCGGCCTCCAGACCCTTGTTGTTCCCCGCATCCACCCCCAGCCCGCAGTTCACCACAATCTTCTCAAGCTTGGGCACCTACCAGAACCAATAAAAATCAAGAAACCACTACCGAACAGGCCAATCTACGACTCAAGAAATGGGATCGGTTCATCAGAGCAGAGCAGAGCAGGAGAGGGGGTACCTGGTGGACATTGGTGTAGCCGAACTCCTCGGTGATGATGGGGATGACCTTGGTGTCGTAGACGGTCTTGAGGCGGTGCACCTTCTGGGCCTCGGCGGGGTCGACGAGGATGATGCCGGAGGGCGTGGCCGGCGGCGGCTTGGGCGGCGCCTCGGTCGCGGCGGAGGCGGCGACGCGGATGGCGCGGCGGGGGACCGGCGAGCGGAGGAGCTGCAGGCCGCGGCGGGCGGAGGGGGCGGCGACGGGGAAGGGCGCCGGCGCGGAGGTGGGCAGGGTCACCGCCGTGGCTGCCATCGGAGCGTGCGGGGAGAAGCGGGGATGGCAGAGTGGAGAGGGCTTTATGGATGACGAGATAAGGCAAAATGGGTGTGGCTGGACGCTCACTCTCACTCCAACTGGGCCTCCGATAAGGCAAAGTGATCATTACACTGGGCCCGTTACTTCTGGGCCAAATTGTCCGTCAGCCCAAACGACTTCTTTTTTGGTAACAAAAAATGGTTCCCCTTCCGATTTTCATCAGGCCTCATTTGGTACAAGGGGATTTGAGAGGTTTTGGGAGGAGGGGATCCGGGAGGATTTGGTGAATCCCTTCCTTCCACCCAATCCCCTCAATTCCCCTCACATTCCCAAGTTTTCAATCCCCTTTCATAAAAACTTGTTTGGTAGACGGGGTTTGATATAATAGAATGATGGCAATAGTGCAGTTAAAAATCCAATCTTTGCAAGTTTAACAACTTTAACCATGTTCCGCTACTAGAACAACAGGTCCTCACAGTATTCTGTTACAAGAACAACAGGTTACTCCCAGATTATAACTTGCTCCTAAATTATTCTATCGAAATATGTATGTGGCAACTGTGTGACAGATTGCAAAAACGACCTAACGCATCAGGTGCCGTTCGATTTGGATCCCGCGATGCACAAGTTTTTGCTCGAACGCCAGCCACAATCCTTCGTGCGACTGCATCCCAACTGCCCCGACGCCCGGGCCTCCTTCCATGCACAAACGAGGCCACTATCCACTCTTCCTCCCGGCGAGGAGGCCCGTCGGCTTGCTTTTCCTTCCTCCTGAAGGCGACGCAGTCGTCGCCCCGCTCCTCCTTAGTTCTGCCGACGACGATGCGATGGGACGGGATCCCCCGGTGCGACCTTCCTGATTGATGCTCCACGGCGGTGCGATGAAGTGGGAGACGGTGCAGCACCTGGACCTCCGCCACGCGTGGCCGATGCCGCGGGGCCGGTGCGCCCGCTGTAGCCGCACGGCGCCGCCTTCAGCGCCTCCCAGGTCGTCGTCGTTCATGGCCTTATTTTCCTGATGAAATCCTGCATGCACGTACGCACACGCCGTCATGGAAACGGGCTTTCCACCGGGAGCGAGAGAGAGACACAACCAAGCCAAAATTATCGGGCGGCTCGAGCAGCACGCTTCGTAGTGAAAGCAGTGGACGGTGGTGAGGTTATCTATCTCATGGCCTTATATCTGAAACTTGTGAAGAAAAGCAACAGTTTCTTAACTGAAAAACTGGCCATTTACCACTCCACATCCTCATCAAACTGTCACCAAATAGCAGAGATCATTTTTACCTCTTATTAATACTTGATCATTACTCCTCCTTGGCGCGTTGATCAAGCATTCGGCTCACCTGCCTATGTGGTTTCTGACGAGAGCACTTTCTTTCTTCAACTTGTTCTAAAACTGAATATTGATAGTCCAAGTCTAAACTTGTTGTTCTGAAACTGAAACTTGACGCTTGGGTCATGCTATACTAAGAACCTCTGAACTTGACACTTGGTCGTATGATGTTCTTTTAGTAGTATACAAATGAACTACTGAAAAGGCATACACTATACTACTCCCTCCGTCCGGAAATACTTGTCATCAAAATGAATAAAACGGGATGTATGTAGACATATCTTAGTTCTAGATACATTCCCTTTTATTTATTTTGATGACAAGTATTTTCGGACGGAGGGAGTACTAAAGAACCTCATTTGTACTGCTGAAATTAGGTTTCAAAACTTTTACTACTGAATCTCATATGCTAAAGAACCTCTCAACCTCATATACACTACTAAAGAACAAGTTTCAGAACCTCAAACAGTACTAAAAGCCTCTGAACTTGAGGTTTATACTACTAAAGACTTTGACACTTACTACTAAAAATCCCCATATTCTATACTAAACCTTAATGATGTAGAAGTTATGAAAACCCATGCTATTTCAGACGCTTGACATTACATCATTTCAGTAGTACAAATGAGGTTATATGTCTCTCTGTTCTTATACTTTTACATCATTTTCAGAGGCTTTTCTAGTAGATTACTTGTACTACATTTTAAGACCTGCCAACTTGCGCATAAAACACCGTGATAACTTTGACCCGAAATAAAATATTACAGAAATATATCATTTATAGCTTATGTGTAAATATTATGATAATTTATGCACGACAGACCTGATAATTTATGTAAAAACACCACATGGTAAATTTGTCCCCAGAAAAATATTATTGAAAACAAATCCCGGTAACTTCTATGCAAATAGCATGGTAGTATACACACCGCAGACATGATAACTTACACAAACACACCGCGTTAATTTTGATCCAGGGAAAAAAATTGTTGGAACGTACCCTCGGAAATTTTGTGTAAACAGTAAACATCGTGGTAATATACGCACCACAAACTTGAAAACTTAAGCAAAAACACCATGATAACTTTGACCTGGATGGAGGAAGTTGTTGAAAAGCATACCCTCGCTAACTTATGTGCAAATAACATGATAATTTACCCATCGGAGACCTAATAACTCTTGTTCAAACACCACGATAATTTTTTGACCCTGATTTTTTTTGTTGAAGAACATTACCCCCAATAACTTCTAGGTAAATAGCACGGTAATGTATTTATTGTAGATACAATAACTTACGCAAAAACAGTACGCTAGCTTTGACCCACGGAAAAAATTGTTTGAAGCATATCGTTGGTAAATTTTGTTTAAATAGAATGGTAATATACGCATTGCAGACATGATAAGTTACTCACAAACACCATGATAAGTTTGATACGGGTGGATGAAGTTGTTGAAAATATACCCCGGTAACTTGTGTGTAAATAGCACGGTAATAGTCCTGATTTGAGGAAGAATAGTAAAAAAATTGTCAAAAAATACACTGGTAACTTTTGTATGTAAATAGCATAGTAAATTAGGCACCACAACCTTGATAATTTAGGTACAAACACCGCGGTAAATTCGAGATTTTTTTTAAAGATAGCCATGGTAATATACCCATCGCATACTTGATAACTTACGTACATATACTATGGTAATATTTGACTCCGTGGGGAAATTGTTGAAAACAGACCCCCCCCCCCTGGTAACTTATATGAAAACATCATGATAATATATGAACCGCAGCTGATAACTCATGTACAAGCACCGCTATAACATTGACCAAAGAGCATGGTAATATGTGAACCGCATGCCTAAAAACAACATGGTAATATAAGAACCGCATGCCCGATAACTTATGTGAATACATCATGGTAATATATGAACTGTAGTGTCGGTGATCCATTTTTATGCCTCCGATGACTTATATGGAAATAGCATGGTAACTTGCATATAAAAGGCATGGTAACTTATGTAGCCTAGGCATGGTAAATTTTGGCTGAAAAAAGTCATCGGAACATGTCAACATAGGATCTAGTTTCGAAGATCTCGTCGCGATGAATCGTTTATGTAAAACGGTTTTTACATCGGACCGGCGGTTTGAGCTACAAAATAT